AAATTATAATAAGAATAAAATTAGTAATAAGAATGATAATAAAAATAATTTTAAAAATTATTAGCTCTTAAATTTTATTCTAATCAGGCATTAGCAGCAAATTGTTTGCTTCTCGTTCTTATCTTAGCTGATAAAACACTTTTTTTTCTTTCGATGCAGAATTTTCTTGCTCATTTACGAAGTAAAACGAGTATATTGGCTTTGTGAGCGCAAACCATTTAACCTCTATTAAAGCTTAAGGCTTGAAATAATTAATTGTAAATAAATTGTAATATTTACTACTATATACTATATACTACTTTATACTACAGAAACGCTACTGGCTAAGTTCTAGAGACCTGAAATTCGGAACATATGTTCGCTTGGGTAATCTAGGTATTGGGTAAAAATGTATCTTGCTATTAATAAGCCTGTATAGATCCTCTAAGAATAGGGCCATGGTAAATCGAATATGTTCGCTTAGTGCCTTCTATAAATTCTACTATATTTTTTAAATCTTTTTTTATAGCCCGCATCGAACGGCAAAGGACAAAAATGTAGATTCGATTATTGTGATATTATTCAGCTGCTCCATCGATGCGATCTCGTAAAACACGTCAGCTAGAAGCTGAAATTTTGGGTAGACCATACGCAGTACATCTTCTGTATATCTTCTGTCTTTTCGATAACTCATTCCATTTCATTGTTATCGATAAAAATCATAATTAGCAAATATTAATAGTGCTCTAGTCGTTCAGGTTCAGGTTCAGGGTAAATATTTTTAAGTACGTGTGTGTAAATGTTGTCATATAATAAAACAATCGCCTATTTGCAGCTAGACACCTCCTTCGTTACTTTTGGGCAGATAAGATATTTGTGTCGCAAATCATATGACTAATATTGCATTGGCACCCTTAAAAAGTGTTTATCAAGATAAGCTTTTATTATATGGGCTTTACTTGAACTTGTATGACTAGCAAATCTAACGGTAAACAAGTAAGAATGGTGCAATTGGGTGGGCGCGACTGCATAATATGTTTCACGTTCCCAGCTCAAAAACAGTTAGCTAAATGTAGCCTTTTCCGATTTTCCACGTCTCCAAGAAGCATATATATCAGTATAGTTAAGTATAATTATTCAGTATAATTAATTAATCATTTATCTAGGCTTAGAGTTTCTAGCTCAAAAGCTGTGCAAGATACAGCTGCAGCCTGCATCTTCGATCCCAAATCCTTCAGGCGTAGATATATATTCATATCTGCTGTATGGGAAATCTGAGTATAACAGGCAGAAGGAGGTCTGGCAACCCCGCAAAATATATGTATTCTTGATCAAGACGTCGAGCTGAGCAGATCTAGCGCTATCCATCTGTCCGTCCGTATAAACGCGTTCTCCTGAGCACCTATATGAGCTATAAACGTGAATGTTTTTTGTGGATTCCTATGTAACACGCGCAGATCAAGTTAATTTAAAAAAATATTCCCGAAATTCAGCCATTGAATTATATATTATATATCTTTAAAGTTTGACTCTTCAAGTTCCGCATGTAGTTTCATGAATATATTTTATTAAATTTCGATTTTTGTTATATTTTGGATGCTCCAAACTTTACGAAATTCTCTGTATTGAAGTTCACTAGCAAATACAACCAATGTATAAAGAAGCTTACTTTTTGAACGAGTGTAATTAAAAGAATTGAAAGAAATTGAAGTCTTTTCAAAAAGAGATTTTTATGGGCGGAATTTTTAGCTCTATCTGCAGATTTAGTCAACAGTGATTCGACTCATTGTCCCTATGAACGAAAGCCATTTCGAATATATATCACATTTGGAATAATGCACTCGCTTTGATCACTTAAAATCGGGAGAATTGATAGCTTTTCGGTTTCATAGATAGAAATTCCAAGTTCACAAAAAAATTATATCCGTCAACATTTTTGGAGCTGAGCCCCAGAACTTGTCAGTTTAGTTACTGCAGACTGCTTTTTGAGATTTTCTAAAAAGTATTCAACTGATTTCTGACCCTGAACGAGCTTTAGGCAGTCGCACGACTGCAACATTCTCAATTGTTTTTAAATATTTTTATCTATTTATAAGCAATTTTCCTTCTAATTTTTCTCTAATGCGATCTACCTTTCATCTGACCTATAAATAACTAAAAGTTTACCATATTCTTTTCGATGCTATCGGTTTTTTTATCAGTTAAACTAATAGAACTCAGGGCTACACACTAGTAGCGCCCCCATATATTCATTAACTTTTATCTATGTTATCTATCAAATTATATATATATATATATATATATATATATATATATATAAACTCTATATATCATAGCGAAGTCGAATGCTCTGATTAGTGTCTAATGCTAAGTTTGCTCTATGTTTTATATCTATGTGTTTTATAACTATGTTACATGAAATAATAGAGTCTGAGCAAAGAGACAGCTATAGAGACCTTATCAACCATATAAACCTTAGCGATAAACTGAATTTTCTATTTATTGTGATTTATATTTGATTTGATTTGTTTTTTGGGTTTGGTCAGACTGTAATACTTTATGTAGCAAATACATATATATATATATATATAAATATAAATGTATATTATATGAATCGTAATATACTTTGAACACGAAAAATTTGTACTCTTTGAAAAGTCGCGGAATGTCGATACGTTGGATTTCTTTTTGATCAAAATGAAGTATTTCTTATGGTCTGAGTTCGTTCTTATCAAGAGACCGGGCCTTATCAGCTTGAAAGCACTTTTCAGCGCTTGCCATATGCGGGCCGCAAATAGACCTTGAATTTTGTAGTTCTATGATAAAACTCACTGCCACAGGCCCTGATACGTGTTTCAAATTTTAGACCTTAGCATAGAATTCAACTTTGCGAAAGGAAAAGTTTTAATAAAAAGCTTCGTCGGCTTTTGGTTGGCACATAATCTATTACTGTCCAAGTTGTATAACTGTATTATAAAAAAAATCAAATGTTTACGAAGAAATAAAAGTTATATTCAAAAGAAAACAAATAAGAAAGCTCCAGTCGCAGGTGGCCGACTAGCAGATACCCTGAACGCCGTCTGAGCTGCGTTGTCAAATAGATTCCTTTGCTGGTGTCTGTAAAATGTTTGTAAAATAAATGTAAAAAATTAAAAGTGAACTCACTGATAAGGGAAAACTACATTAGCAGCTAGCTATTTGAATAGACAAGAATGTACCCATTTGAATGTATGTGCACACGTCTTGGGGCTTGGCGCTTGGCGCTGCTTGCCAGGTGCTTCTGCCAACTGGAAAAACTTCTGAGTTACTTAACGGATTTCTATAAAACTTTCAGCATATGATTTACATATTCTATTGGAATATTTGTAAATTTTGTCAAATTTTTTTGATTTATTTGCAACTGCCCAGATGAACTCAGCGATCTGAGACGCAAAAGCTAGAGACTTTAAATTAATAAATTATACTCGTGTATATCATACGCAGTACGAGTTAAACCTTTTCTTTGATAACAGCATTTTTTTCACCCACTCACTACTTCCACCAATTTCATATTGCAAATAATAGTGACTTGTGCTTTAGTCCCTCTAGAAGAAAAGTTAATCAATCAAGTTAAGTTAGCAAAGTAAAGTCCATCTGCAGTCCATAAAGAGGCGAACAATGAATTCAAAGTGCACCTCTACTTAAGGTACAGGGTATCTGCTAGTCGAGCAGTCTCTACCCATACTTGTTATCTATGAGTATAATTGAGCCATCTCTCGTTTAGGCTGTAATCGGCCGCATACTTAACTATTTATAAGTATTATTAAATTGAACTAGATTCCAGTATGAAACGTAAGCCCTCGTCAAAGAGAACTTCTGCACAGCTCATTTAGCGCTATCAACTGCAACATTTGACGGGTAGATAGAGTCGAGCAGATACGCTCGGAGCTCATGCCTCAAGTGAACACATTTAGTTGAAACAACAAACTGAATTTAGCTAATTAAAGTGCGCAGACACAAAAACTATGCGTGTAAATAAAAGATAACACGCAAATATGTACATGAGGTCGACTACGTCAGTAAGTGGGCCGGCTAGCTTGTAAAAATACGCACACTTTACATCTTGCATCAGAATGCCATATCACATCATACTTTGATAAGCTGCTCCGAAGGAGCTGCCCACACGGTCGCACCTTGCAAAAGAGCCTAAAGCAGTTGTCACAGCGTAGCGCAATCAGCGATTGATGTTTCTGTGTCACGATTGATGTTACCAAGTTCACTAGTCGTGGCGCAATCAGCCAAGTTAAAGCTTTTCATATCAATTTTGTATATAAATATAAATATATAAAGGATCTGGCAAGCTCCCTCTCAAACTAAATCTCAATCTCTGCTGAAGTTAATTCATTCATTCATTTTTTGGATGTTTCTTGTCATTATATGACAAGCTAACAAGACGCTCACTTAATGTTTGGTTAAAGAAGTAAAAGAGTATATTGGTTTTGAGCTATGTCGGTCTGGCTAACGCTAATCAGCTTGCCGCTAAATATGTTAGAAACTTGAATGTTGTCATGTGTTGTCATATCGGGGTTACCCTCGTCTGATAAGCAGTTAAGACTTTGCAGCTACGCCCAATATGGGCGCGGCAAATCAGAAAGGCTATTAGTGCACTCAAAACTCAAAATCAAACAGATATAGCGGGTATATCTATTTGTGTGAAACTGTTTCTTGCACAATTTTCGATTTATAAACTTAAAATTGAGCAACTAAATTAATGTTGATATGAACTATAAATTACTATTGATCTATCGAAATATATATACATTGCAGATAGAAGTTTCGTATACAGTTAGAGCTTCCCTCTCTAAGTGCAATTTTAATATAAGTTTTATCATATTAAAATAGTCTTGTGCGCTTATCTATGCTGTATCTTAAGAACTTCGTTGTCATTTTACTAGAGCTAAATTTAGTTAGCTAATTTTGTTCAATGTTTTAAATAATATCTTTTAATATTTTTCTGTCTTGTTTCTTTGCTTCTGTTGCAGTTGAATATCCTGAGGATAGTGCGTATAGACCCAGTCAGTATGCTGGCTATATCAATCGTGGCTATGATGATTTAGATAGTTCCTTGCGTTTCGCACAATACGAGGCCATGAATGATGCTAGAAGCAGTAGGGCATTGCCGCCCTATACAGACCAATGCGAGGGGGACGACGGCGATGATGTGTTCAAGGACTGTGCCGACGATGCCATAGACGAGAGTGATGAGCAGGCGCATCATAGTCGCTGCCTGCCCGAGTTTCAGTTCTCGATCGTGGATTCGGAATATGACGAGACGCTGGCGTTTCCCGATTCCGTGACGATCCTATCGACCGTGGGCGATAAGCCGGTGCTGGTGGAGCGCAAGGAGACTGACGACGATGATGAGGAATTTGACGACGAGAATAGCGTGCTCCTACGCCAGGAGATACCCTTCATCAGCATCTATGGGACCAGCGTGAAGTTCAACTCGTTTCAGCGCAAGGTCTTCATACCGGGTCGCGAGATTCATGTGAGAATCGTGAACACGGAGCGTAGCGTGACGACTCATCTACTTAATCCCAACTTGTAAGTGTGTCGCTTGATGACTGACCGATAAACAGAACAGCTCAACTGATTGACTGACTGATTCCTCGCATTTTGGGACCAATTAAACTTCATTCTGTGACTGATTCAATGATTGCCTAAAGCTTTTTTTGTATGATTACTAATGGATCGGTTGCTTGAGCAGTTGAACGGTTGGACAGTCGGATAACTGACTGAAAGCCTGATTGATTGGCAGTGTGAATTACTGTCTAACTGACTGATTGACTGATTAATTGACTGATTGACTAACTGATTGACTGACAGATTAACTGATTGACTGACTGACTGATTGACTGACTGATTGAATGCTGATTGACTGACAGCTGGACTGACTGATTGACTGACTGTTTGACTGACTGATTGACTGATTGACTGATCGACTGATTGTTTGATTGACTAATTGACTGATTGACTGACTGATTGACTGATTGTATGATTGATTGACTGACTGATTGACTAACCAACTGACTGAGTGACAAGCTAACTGATTGACTGACTCATTGATTGACTGATTGACTGATTGACTCACTAATTGACTGACTGACTAGCTGACCGTTTGACCGATTGATTATCTGACAGATTGATTGGCCAGCTATTTTACTAGCTGATTGAAAAGCTTAATGATTGATGCAAGCTTTTGTCATGTCTCCTCTACAGATACACCATCGAACTCACCCATGGCCCTTTCAAGTGGACCATTAAGAGACGCTATAAGCACTTCAATTCTCTACATCAACAACTGAGCTTCTTCCGCACCTCGTTAAATATACCATTTCCGAGTCGAGCGCATAAGGAGAAGCGCACCACGTTGAAGGCCGTTGCGAGTCAAATGGCTGATGAGTCTACTCTAAAGGATCTGCCCGCCCATACCAAAGTCAAGCACACCAGCACCCCGATTGGCAATAGTGAAAATCGCACTAACAATAACAACAACAACCTCAATAATAATAGCCGTGGCGATGGCGCCGGCATCGTGGCCACCATCGTCAGTCCCAGCCACAGCTCGATTCTGTCAAGCCTCACGCCGCGGCGCAGTCAGAGGACAAAGCACAAGAAAAAGAAAAGGAAACTTCCGCGTTTTCCGAATCGTCCGGAAAGCTTGATCACAGTCGAACATCTTCCGGTGCGGATCAAGCAGCTGGAGGACTATCTGTATAATTTACTTAACATTAGTTTATATCGATACCATCATGAGACGGTGAGTGGACTGAGAATGACAATGCGCTGCAGTCGGACTGCCAGCTCCACGCGCTCAGTGGCCGTAGATACACTATCTACAGCTGTTTAGTTGGGGCTTCTTGATCTAGCACTTTATCTAATACAGGTTCTGACATACTGCACTTACCCTTAGTGTGCGTATCGGGAAAATCTTAACAGCTTATCAGACGAGGGAAACCACGAGTTTATATGACTAATTTCAAGCCTCTAGCTTTAATAGTGGCGATATGATTTGCAGTCATACGGACAGATGGACAATAAACTCTTTCAGTTCGTGATTGATTATAAAAATATTTAATTGCGCTGCTCTAAGATATTAAGCATGGTTAGGTTGAGCAAGCTAGGAGTTAGCTACATTAGAACAGCTGTCGGATGTTAGAAAACACTCTATGAGGACTTCAAAGAGACTGTGATTGAGTTCCAGTTCCATTGAAATAGATGAGGCAAAGGTCTTAGACTCAGATCTCGTTGTAAATGAATGGAAAAATGCTTAAAGTCCAGCTGGGCTGGGATATATTAGCATCATAAGGTAAAGTATATGCAACGTTAGGTAAGGTTGTGAGCAGCAGGACTTATGTGAGGTCCTTGACCTGGCTTAGGTATTAGCTAAAAGTATTTGTATCAAAGACAACTTCAGACTAATCTTACTGACATTCTCTTGCAGCTAAACTTTGTGGAGGTATCCAATGTGTCATTCGTCACCGGGCTGGGCATCAAGGGCAAGGAGGGCGTCATACTGAAGAGAACGGGCTCGACAAGGCCGGGCCAGGCGGGCTGCAATTTCTTCGGCTGCTTTCAGCGCAATTGCTGCGTGAGGTGCAACTACTTCTGCTCGGATGTGGTCTGCGGCACTTGGCGCAGCCGCTGGTTCTTTGTGAAGGAGACGTGCTTCGGCTACGTCCGGCCCACAGACGGTAGCATACGTGCTGTCATCCTGTTCGATCAGGGCTTCGATGTCTCCACGGGCATCTACCAAACGGGCATGCGCAAAGGCTTGCAGGTGCTCACGAACAGCCGCCACATTGTGCTCAAGTGCTGGACACGGCGCAAGTGCAAAGAGTGGATGCAGTACCTCAAGAACACGGCCCACAGCTATGCCCGCGACTTCACCTGCCCCAATCCGCACATGTCCTACGCCCCCATGCGTGCGAATACCCAAGCTGTCTGGTATGTGGATGGCGCTCAGTATATGGCCGCCGTGGCAGATGGGCTAGAGGCCGCCACTGAGGAGATATACATCGCCGACTGGTGGCTCAGCCCCGAGATCTATATGAAGCGACCCGCCCTGGATGGCGACTATTGGCGCTTGGACAAGATTCTGCTGCGCAAGGCCAAGCAGGGTGTGCGGGTATTCGTGCTGCTCTACAAGGAAGTCGAAATGGCACTCGGCATCAACAGCTACTACAGCAAGTCCACGCTGGCCAAGCATGAGAATATTAAGGTACGGCATATGGACTTAGTGCTGTCAAGCAGAGAAGGGAACATTAGCTACATATTACAGTTATTGCCAATGGGCTTAAGAACTATTAGCATTTATAAATGGAACTAGATGAACTAAGTCAATTTGGCCCTGTCAAGTCTGGCAAGGTACAGCCTCAGCATAGCACGCTCTTAACAAGTTTGTTTTAAATAATCGATAACTTTTCACTTTTTATTGTTATCGATTATAAACATGATCGAAAGCAGTTATAAAATTGTATCTCGCACGTCTTTTGAACTAGCTTCTCACAATTTTGTATTTAGTTTTATGTTGTTATCGATGGGATGTTAGTTCGAGTCGTGATGTCCTGATATCGGGGTTTCCACTTTTTCTGCTCTATTCTGAATTTTATTTGAATGTGGAAGAGCGAGCTCGAATATTTTAATAAGTTTAGACTAGATACAAGCTAAGCAGTATATAAAGGGGTTTAAGGTAGTTCCTAGACGGCTACGCTCCCGGGTTCTCTTACTTGTTGAACTTATATTTGAGTATATTGGCTAGACGTTGGCAGCTACCAAAATGAATTTTAATATTGACTGTAGACGATTTCTAGTATTCAAAATTATTCGATCTAGTATTCAAAAATAAATTTACGAAATGAGGAAATTTTTGACAGACATTCCACGTGTTGTGCTCGCTGACAGCTGAGTATAGAGGGGTCACTTGAAAGACCATTTACAAAGATGTTTCTTAAGTTCCAGATCGTGGTTCATGGATCATGTCATATTCATATTCATATCATTCTGCTTTCAGGTCATGCGTCATCCGGATCACGCACGTGGCGGCATTCTGCTGTGGGCGCACCACGAGAAGATAGTTGTGATAGATCAGACGTATGCGTTTATAGGCGGCATAGATCTGTGCTATGGTCGCTGGGACGATCGTTCACATCGGCTGACGGACTTGGGTAGCATTTCCACGGGCTCCGTTTCGGGCAGTACGCGACGCACGCCCAGCGGATACTTCAACAGGGATGATGAGGACTCAGCCTTCGGCTCGCGCAAATCCTCGCGCAATGCGCATTACGAGACGGCAGGAGCCAAGGAGCCAGCCCCAAGCCAACCCGCTGACGAAGAGCCCAACTTGCCGGACATGGAGCTGCGAGTGCTTAAGCCGGGGGATCGGCTGCTCATTCCAGACATGCTTTCGGCAGCCTCCAGCGAGGCGGCACTGGAGTGCACGGCGCTAGAGGGCATGAAGCTGAATACGCCCGAGATGGAGCGTAAGAATATGCTGGATCGCTTGAAGAACAATGCTATGAAGGGCGCACGCAAGGGCAAGGACTTCATGCAGCGACTGACCACAAGCGAAGTGACGGAGAGCACAGAGACGGAGCTGGAACCAGCTGCAGCTGGCGTCTATTGCATAGAAACCGATGAAACAGCCATCAGCAAAGAGGATCAGGCACAAACTTCCAGCTCAGCAATGGCAGCAGCAGCTAAGGCTGGAGGTGGAGCTGCAGCTGGCGCTGGGGGCAGCACACAGCTACTCAGCGAGTTTTATGGCCAGGCGAAGTATTGGTTCGGCAAGGACTACTCTAATTTTATACTCAAGGATTGGATGAATCTGAATGCGCCCTTTGTGGACATCATCGACCGCACCACCACGCCGCGCATGCCCTGGCATGATGTGGGCCTCTGTGTGGTCGGCGCCTCCGCTCGGGATGTGGCCCGTCACTTCATACAGCGCTGGAATGCCATGAAGCTGGAGAAGCTGCGCGATAATGTGCGCTTTCCCTATCTGATGCCCAAAAGCTATCATCAGATACGACTCAATCCGCAGCTGCAGCAGCAGCAGCAGCGGCGACAGCAGCAAGTCACCTGCCAGCTGCTGCGCAGCGCCTCGGCCTGGAGCTGCGGCTTCATCGAACCGGATCTGGTCGAGCAGAGCATACATGATGCCTACATCGAGACAATTACCAAAGCCCAGCACTACGTCTACATAGAGAATCAGTTCTTTATCACCATGCAGCTGGGCTTGGGCGTCTCGGGAACCTTCAATGTAAGAAACCAGATCGGAGAAACACTCTTCAAACGCATCGTTCGTGCCCACAAGTGAGTTTGTTAATCTATAGGATCTGTAGGATCTATAAAAGTTATAGGTGATTGCCTTATCCGATCGTCTAGTGGATCCTTTCTCCAAAGGATTTTTATGATCTAAAGCATTTATAGCTGATACATCTACTAATTACTAGGATATATAACACTTTGTAGGATCGTCTAGTGGATCCTTCGTACAAAAGATCTGTAGGTTCTATAAAAGTTATAGCTGATTACTACAAAGGATCTATTGAACTTATAGTAATGTATCTGTAGGATCTGTATGATCAATAGAACTTATAGCTGATCATCTAGGGCATCCGTCCTACAAAGGATCTTACATCTATTGAAAGTGTATTATCTAACTATCTATAGGATTTGTAGAATGTAAAGCATTTATAGCTGATTTCGTTATACGAACGTCTAGTGGATCCTTCCTACATAGGATCTTACATCTGTTAAATCATTAATATTGAAAGTGTATGATCTATCTGTAAGATCTGTATGATCTATAAAAGTTATAGCTGATCGTTTTATACGATCGTCTAGTGGATCCTTCCTCAAAAGGATTTGTATGATCTATAACATTTATAGCTGATCGTCTAGTGGATCCTTCTTTCAAAAGATCTTACATCTATTGAAAGTGTATGATCTATCTATCTTTAGGATCTGTAGGATCTGTAACACTTATAGATCACTGATTTATCCTTCCTACAAAGGATCTTACATCTATTAAAGCATTGGTATTGAAAGTGTATGATCTAAAAGGTCTACAACAGATCAATTGATCTTTAATAAAGACATCTTGGATACACTACGACTACTACTAAGTAAATTGATCTATGCTAATATTTTTCAGGGAACGCAAACGTTTTCGTGTCTATGTGATAATGCCCTTATTGCCAGGCTTTGAGGGCGATGTGGGCGGCAATACGGGCATCGCAGTGCGTGCTATAACCCACTGGAACTATGCATCCATCTCCAGGTTCGTAAGGCAGAGCAGGTTATATATCGATAGTAACTCTCTCTCTTGATCTCTGCTCGTCTCCCCTTAGAGGTCGCACTGCAATTTTGACACGCCTGCAGGAGGCGGGCATCACACAGCCCGAGAATTATATTTCCTTTCACAGTCTCCGCAATCATTCGTATCTGAATAATACGCCGATTACGGAGCTGATCTATGTGCATTCCAAGCTGCTGATCGTCGATGATCGCGTCGTTATTTGTGGCTCGGCGAATATCAACGATCGCTCGATGATCGGCAAGCGCGATTCGGAAATTGCCGCCATTATCATGGATGAGGAGTACGAGGACGGACGCATGAATGGCAAAAAGTATCCGAGTGGCATTTTCGCTGGAAGATTGCGAAAATACTTGTTCAAAGAGCATCTGGGTAGGTCATCCAGAGGCGTTTCTTTAATCTCTGATCACTCCTAACGACTTCCGATTGTTCTAGGCCTATTGGATCTGGATGGCTCGTCGCGCTCTGATCTGAACATCAGCGACCCCGTTTGCGATGAATTCTGGCACAATACCTGGCGCCGTATATCGACGAGAAATACGGAGATCTACGACGAAGTGTTCAAATGCATTCCAACAGATTTCGTGAAGACCTTCGCTAGTCTGCGCAAATATCAGGAGGAGCCGCCGCTGTCGAAAACTGAGCCCGAAGTGGCCGCCAAGCGGGCCACGGAAATTCAGGTGGGACTTAACGCGTGACTTAACCAGAGCGCTATATAGTTAAATTTTGGTGTAGGGAAAAGCTAATGGATTTTTTTGGAAAAATTTAAGTGGGATTACTCTGAGCCCTAATGGGTTAAGGAAGAAACTTACCAGATTCTTTCCTACTGTAAAACATATTTATAAGGGCTTATCTCTCGTTCTTTACCCACTATCAGCTTTACTCATGTTCTTTATTCATGCTTCTAGGGTCATCTGGTTAACCTGCCGCTGGATTTCCTTAACAAGGAGGTTTTAACGCCGCCCGGGACCAGCAAGGAGGGCCTCATTCCTACCTCTGTATGGACATAGTCTGCCAAAAGTCTTTAAGACGTAATCTAATTTAGGGAAATTATGTAAACTGGTTGTAAGTACAGTTGCCACCAAAATGTCGCATGCGCATTTTTAGGTTAGTTTTTTATTTATGCAACCCACCAAAGTGTGCTCAACCTGATGAGTTGCTGTTGCCAAGTCAAAGGAAAAAGGAATTGTACATATATATTTATATATAGCGTATTATATTGTTTGTGTAGTCGTCTGTCTATTTGCCTTACAGCTAGTTAATTTATTTTGCGGTACATCAACGTTCCCCTATTACAATTAAGTTTTTTTATGGTTAATGTTTGTAATTTTAAAAACAGTATTCTAGACAAACTAAAGCGCAATTATATATTTTTTTAATAAAACTTCATTAAAGTGATTTAAAGTTAGAAAAACCCTTACGATTTATATTTTTATTTAAAATAAAATGTAACTAAATTATACCATAAAAAATACTATAACAAATACTAAATGATCTCGAAACAAAAATGCCAAGCGTCTCTCAAGAGCTCGTTGCTGCAGCTCAACTGTTGGCTGTCTGCTACGAGACAGAATTAACATCAAAATGTTAAGTGCTGGTAATATACCACTGTTAAAAGTCTCAGTATTGCTCAATCGTGGGGAATATTCACGAAGTATTTTAACAGTGTTGTTCAATCGGAGTTCTGTTACGTTAACATTCTTAATAGCGCAGAGGCCCTGTTAATTAACCCCATATACAGAATTCACTTATTTCTATTTTGCGCTCTGAGCGAACAACGTTTTATGCTCTTTAAGTCTCTTTTTATTGTTTTGGTTATTACTTTTATAGATCACTCTTATACTTTATCAGCCCAATATATATAATATAATAAATTAATGAAAAAAAAAAATTTGCATAAGATCAGGTGGTATGCAAAATAAAAGTCTTCTAATACTTATCATAATTCCAAAATTTTCCAATCACAATAAAAAAGGAAACGTTAAATGTACCTCGCTTGAATCAATTCAGTACTGAGGGATTTAGTGCTTTACTCTTTTTCTTTCTTCGTCTTTGGCATTGCATTTGCCATTTTAGATTTGCTAATGCAGTGCGTTTTCTTTGCTCGCTCGGTGCAGTCGTGTTGTTTGCCATAGGCTTGGCTTGTGCGTGTGTGTGCGCGTATGAAATCAGTTCAAAATTGGAAACGGTAAAACGTACCGCAACACCAAGCGATTTGCTTTAAAGTGTCAACAAACATTTTCAGTTGAAGGTAATTTCTGCATTTGGCCATTTTCTGGCATTGGCTTCGGTTTTCGTGCTGTAAAAGATAAGTGCGAAGCACAAAGTCAAACTACTGCAACTACAACAAGAGCAAAGCTAGCAAACAAGTTCTGCTGCTCACACATACTAACAGATAGTGTGCTCTCAAGCTTGCTCTCGAAATCTAGCATGTACCATGTTCTTTGCCAGAACCGTTGCATCACAAAAGGCCGACACACACACATAGAGGCACAGAAAGAGAGAGATTGCTCATGTAACGTAATAAAAGCACGTGTTGGCTTTGATTTTGTTGTATTTGCTGTTGCTGGTGTTGTTGACTTTGCTGCTTTTTCTTTACGTTCGTTTTATATTTATGTGTGGATGTATGTATAATTTGTATTCATGACGTGATTTGTGTTGGTGAATGATTGAGCGAGTGTGTGTGTGTGCGTGTATGCGGAGGTTTGATAACAACAGTCGATGTGTGTGCTGGTGTTTGTGAGGTCTCTTTCTTGCTCTCGCGCTTACTTGATTTCTGTTATTGTTTGCTTTTGAATTGACTTTGCCTAATTATTGAAGCGAATTTGCGTGGGCAAAGGAAGCTGTAACTGAAAAGCGTGGGTCATTACATTTAGAGCATGATTAAGGAAGTGCTGCAGTAGGTGCTCTATAAAATGATAAACCGCCGGTTTGCTAATACGCAAGGAATGTCTGAGAAGTTAAGCCAAACAGCTGTCTTTCCGCTATGAGTGTGTGTATGTGTGTAATTGCGTACCTAACGGCACTTAAAGTGTTCATCAAAAATGAATCATAAAGTCAGTAGTTTAGATTAAAACGAAAAGAATAGAAAAAATGCAAGTAAACACTAATGAAATATAAGGGACAAATAATAATAAATGAGAAAATATAACAGTAAGCTCAGAGTTTAAAATTAAAGATAGTTAAGACAATTCTGATTCTAAAGATGAACAGTTATCAATAATAATATAAATCAAAAGTAGCTATTAAAAAAATTAAAATGATATTTAAAAAATTCTGATAGACGAATTAAGGTAAGGTTAAGTTAGCATTCGCTTTAACTGTCGATCTATGTTATAGTCTTCTATTTAGAACCTGTTCCTTTGCTGCTGGCTTACGTTGTGTTTCTCACGCTCATATCAACAGGTAACAAATATGATTAAGATACAACATGACTTTGAAGTTACGTTTTCCCCACCCACTCGGGCGACAATCGTGGCCAAATCTGTTCAAAACTAAATATTGAACTTACAAAGAAAAAACAAAAAATAAAGCGTGTGGGCTTGTGGCGCAACAAGCAGTAGCCGCACAACCGGCTTCCCTATAGACCTCACCTTCACATGCCCCTTCGGTCTCTTCGACGTTCCTCTGCTCTCAGTGAGTATGCCAAACCTGCTGTCGCTGCACAGAAATCAAAAGTGAACATCGCATCGCTTGCATATTGCCAACGTCTGCCTGCTGTCGCCCCTCTCCAAACAATTCGCCACTCGGCGAAAAAAAAACAACAACAAAACATTGTTGGCATCGTCGGATTTCGTCGTCGTTTGGCGTTTTGGCGTTCGTGCGTTGTCACGAAGTTGCGGTCGTTGCTCGTTGGACGCTCGTTCTTGTTGACTTCGCTCGTTTCGTGCTGGCTGCTCGGTTCTAGTTGGCTAAAGCTCTTCGTGTCTCGGGCCCCACACCAATGCGGCGTTCGTCGCGACAGTCAGTCGCAGGCAGAGGCCAGCAGCCAAAGCAACGTAGTAGACGGGGGCAGTGAGAGTCAGCGCGCAGTTTTTCGAGCCACTTTGTTTCACGCAATTAACAGCAGTTCGACTGACATTTTTTGTACATGGCAATTAAAACAACTGCAACGAACGAATACGCAAACGAAAATACACAAACAAAAAGAAAATTGTGTGTGCTTTTTTGATTATTAATAGACAACACGGCCCCGGCGAGCAAAGCATTGATAACGTCACAAGAGAGGGAGAAAGAGAGAGAGAGAAAGAAAAAGAGAGAGAGAGTGAGAGAGAGAGAGAGAACGAGCCAGGGAGCGTAAGTGTCTGTGCGTGTGTATTGAAATGCATTTGATTAGATTCTTAAGCATTGTTGTTAAACAAACGCCTGATTTGTGACTTTGTTTATACTGTTTCGGTTTCGTTGTTTTAACAAACATAAAAAAAACAACACAAAGCTCGAGAGACGCGAGAACCGGTTAACTGTTTGCAAAGCTTGCAAAAAAAGTTTTTTCGCTTTTGGTTTGTTTTCTGCACTGCAAATGCAAAAACAACACCAAACGGAAACGTATAAAACTCATAAGAAAATTAGCAGCCATTCATAATGCAAAGTTAATGAAAATTCGCTGAAATATAATTGCTTCAAATAAATGCTGAACAAATGCAAAATTTTAATTATGTCAAATGAAAAATGTAATAAAAAAGTAAATATTTTCAATGCAATTCATGTTTAATTTGCAAAAAAAAAAAATAATTTATTTAATTTGAGTAAAGTGCAATAAAATTATATAATAGAAATAAAAAATTTGTGTGTTACGCTGAAATTGTGAATAATAATACAGAAGCCATTGTGCATTGTGGCACAGTAAAGCGTGCGTACCAACGGAAAAGCCCATAAAATCGTGTTTAGTGATTCAATTATAAATAAATTGGTAACAAGTATTGAAATCAATGATGTACCTGTTGAAGTGTTAAAAATAATAAATAAATATATTTATATTTAATATATTAAAATAAAAGTGTTGACAAAAAACCTAGTTAGATACATTAGAAACAATCAATTGATTCATTTTTAGTTGTTTTATAAATATAAAGCATACAACAGGCGGGAAGTATAGCAGCATCAATAAAATAGGAAAAATACCTTCTAGTAAAGGATGAGGAAATCTCTTTATTTTTATAATCCCCGTCAAGTTTTTAAAATTTTTTATTAGTTAAAGGTTTTAATTAGAAAATTTCTTTTTTAAAGAATACAATTATAGATAATTATATAAATATATATAAATAAAAATATAGTATTTAATTTTTTTAAATTTCTATAAAGTATATTTGGTTTTCAAAAGATATTTTTAGAAATTAACCTGACTTATATTCAAGCCACAATCCTTCTTGATCAGTAGCAGAAATTGAACTAAAGAAAGTTAAGCAGAAATGTTATTAAGTCAGATAAAATTTTATAATAAATATTATTATTCATCCATCCATGTTGAAGTTGTAATAGTTCTGTCAATCAACTTTCGTTTTCATATAGTTAAAAAACTAAAAACTAAAAACCAAATTTAACAAATGAATAACAAATAATGCCAGACTTAAAACTAAGTAAAAGTCAAAGACTTGGAACAAAACAAATGCGAAAAGGAGCTTAAAGCAAAAGCTTCAATAGGAAAGAAATTCACAAAGTGAATTTGAACAAAAATGTGTTGTAAGCTAAACAAATGGCAACAACAAAAACAACAACAACAACTAGACCGGGAAGCAATTAAAGCAAACGTTTCCAAACAGTTGCGAAAATAAACAAAAAAGGAGCAGAAAACAAAAAAGTGCATAAAGGAAAACAAATTGACAAGCAAAGGGAAAAAGAAAAAGCGAAAAGCTAAGAAACAACAAAAAGAAGCAAAGCAAAGAAAATGTCTGGCTCGCCGTCGAAGGACACAGCGACAAAGACTAAAGAAACGGTTAGCGCGACGCCGACTGCCACGCCCACAGCAGCAAAAGCAACATCAGCAGAGAAGACTTTAACATCGAGTGCGGCTTTGTCATTGTTTGATCAGCTGAAAAACGGCGTCAATTTGAACAGTTTGACAGGAACTGCCTCGCCTTTGGCCAGCCCCTTGGCATTCCCCTTTGCCCCGCCGGCTGCCCGAGTTACAAATATTGAATTGAAGCCACCGCCGCCCCAACCGCCGAAGGCTTCCTTTAATACGCCCACGCGGCTGCTGTTGTTTCCGCCCACAAGCAGCAGCAGCATCGGCACTGTGCAAGCCACCAAACGGGGCAGGGAAACGACAAAAACAACAATTGCAACAACTGCAACAGCCAACAATAACACAACGAAAGCTAAAACACTAGCTGAAGCAGCAGCAGGAGGAGCAGCGGCAGCAGCAGCTGCTGCCAAATTGGATATCAGCGCATTGCGATCTCAGCTCTATCAAGGCGCCAGGAAACCTTCAATAACAACAGCAACAGCAACAACAACAACAACTGCGAAAACTGCCAGAGGAGAACGTGGAGCTCGGGGCAATGGGCAGAGCATAAAGAAACGCTGCGTGGATCGATGCGATTCATCAGAGTCATCAGACAGGTGAGTCTATCAAACGGAAATTGTCAACTGAAAATGATTTAAGAGAAAATCAACTGTTTTGCAATGGGTTTTACTGTAATGTGATATCCGTGATTCTGTAGTCTTGAGAGTGGGTGTCTAGATATATCCATATCAAGTGTAATTGATAGTAATAGGGGTTCAGTTTAAAGTAAAGGGGGAGAGGGAGAAAGGGAAGAAAAGGGAGAGAGAGAGAGTAAAAGAGCGAAAAAGAGTGTGAGAGTGAAAGAGAATGAAAGAGAGGAAGAAAGAGAGAGTAAGAGAGAGAGAGAGAGAGTGATTAAGAGAGAGAGAGAGATAGACTAAGAGTATGAGTATGAGAGGGAGAGAGAATGAGAGAGAGAGCGAGTAAGAGAGATAGAGTAAGATAATGAGAGAGAGAGAGAGAGAGAGTGTGTGTGATAAAGAATGAGAGAGAGAGCGAGAGATATAGATGTAGAAAGAGAGAGCGAGTGTGAGTGACAGAGAAAGGGAGGCATAGAGAGAATGAGAGAAAGAGAAGACAATAAACAGAGAAAGAGAAAGGGACACAAATTCCTCTGAATTATTGTTTCCCGTATTTCGAAATGGTGATAAGGGATTTATATAAATACGATTATTAAATGAATTCTGATTCTTAATATATATTCAGATAAGGTACTTCTTAGTACCTATTAGTTAGACATATTTTGGGTTCTGGAACTTAGGTGCTCCCACGCTTCGCTTGTTCAGAATCACTCAGATCCCATGCGAAGTAGAATAGCGAAGAAAACGGCGGATGCCTATTGAAGACGTATAATTTCAATATCAAAACATCCCAATAAAATTAAATATGCATAAGTTTATTTCTCACTCTATTATTCAAGGCATGAGTCATGATCATGACCACAAAACTCAAACTTAGCTTAAAGTTAAGTTCGAGCTTAGCAACAAAAATAAAATAATAAAAAATAGAAATTGTCAACTTTTTATGCAGCTGCATGTTGACAGAAAATGTACAACAAAAGCAACAACTTGGACAACAGCAACAACAATAAGCTGAATTCAAGTTGGGGGTTTGCCAAACAATGCAACGGCTATGAAAACAATGCCAAATGCAATGCCAAAAATTGCAAACAACATTAAGAAGCCAAAATGCACGACTAAATATACACGAGTTGCAGCAGCAAAAGCAGCAACTGCAGAAACAACAGAAGCGACAGCGAACATCAACTTCAACTGCATGTTAGATACATCTGCGACTGCCACAAATGGGTCTACATTGAGCTACCCTGTAGTTGCTCTGAGATATATGAGATAATGAGCTGAAGATATATAGAGATAAATATGGTAGTCTTTGATCTTAAGACGGAGCTACATAGACCGAAAGACATGAGCCACACAGGAAAATTATAATAGAAAAGTGTGTGATGTGAGTGAATATGAAATATATATATATATATATATTGAGCATAATAATAATAATAAAAATACGCTCAATTGACAAATTGACTCAGTTGGGTATAAAATATATATTTATGCTATATTAGTTATAGCTATATAGCACAATAAGAATATGATCTTTTGGTCCAATCAATCAATTAGGCTTAAAGAACAATTAACAAATAAGAAATTAGTTTGAATAGTTAAAACTTTCTCTTCTAATTGTTTTTCGACTAGGGGCTATGAGAAAAGCGAATGTAATTTGCGAGTTATTACACATTACTACACTTCTAGCGTCATCTGCGACGGCGACTGCAGCTGCGACGTCAACGTCGACGTCGATGTTGGCGTCATTTTGGAGTCACTTAAACGAGATAAATCAACGTGGGCGATTACACAATATCGCATTGTCAGTCAATGCAAGTGTGTTGGTGTATGTGTGTGTGTGTCTTTGGCTGCAGCTGCATCTGTATATGTCTCTCTCTCTCTCTGTTTTTGTCTCCCCCTCTATATGTGTGTGTGTGTGCGAGTGCCGACAATTGAGGCGTGCTGGCATGACTGTGCAAAAGAGGAAAAAAAGCAAAACAAAACAAAGAGTAACAAATGCAAAAACAACAGCTGGCAAAAAACTTTTAGCAGCGACTGTGGAAAACTGTGCATTGGAGTGCAGTGGGTCGCCGCTTGGGGCTTCGGGGGTCGCCCATGGAAAATGTGGAAAAACCTGTACCTGTACCTGCACTCAACAGTCCACTTAAAGAAAACACCAAAAAAAAAAACAGACAATAACAACAACATCAAATACTGATTAAACAAAACAAAAAAAAATATTAAAAAAATAATGACTGCAAATTGCAATCGACAACAACAACTGTTGTTGTTGTGACTGTTGTTGTTGCTGTTGCTGTCTTTATGAGCGATAATTAAAGTTAAATGTTTTGAATGTGATGTTGCGTCTGATCCTCTGTTAATACTCGCATCATCCCCACATCCAAATGCGAAACATTAAAAGAGACGCCGCAGCAACTTGTTGTTTTAATGTTTATTATACGAAAAAAACGTACATTTTAATGAGCGAAGTTCTTGGCAATTGCAACAGCAACAGAAGGTCAAAAGTAAACAAAATTGAGGTCAAAATTGCAAAAGTTGTAGTCAAAGTAGAGTGCAAAGAGTTTGGCTTAAAAGAGCTCCGAATTGAATAAGATTCAAATAAATATATTTATTTATTTATATATTTAATATATTTATATATTTACTATATTTATATATTTACTATATTTACATATTATATGTAGTTTATGTGGTTCTAGAATTAGTTTTCAAAAGTCTCACAATTTAATTTTTATGTTTTAAAATTCATATTTGAGACATATTTTTGCTTAGAAAACATATAATATAAGTGCAGTTATTCTTTAATATATGTAGTCTTTTAATTCTTGATATGATATATACAATGAAAATCCCATTTCTGATGTAATTTATCAAGTTTCTATACGGGATTCAATTTAAAATTTCCTAAAGCATATTGTGAGCATTTATAGAAGAGGCTAACAAAGCTTTGTTTCTCGTAGAAAATGCTAATTAGGCTATTATTTTTTACTGCAGCAAGCAGAAGAAGGCGTGGCGTATCCTTTATATTTCATCAATTAATTTTCCTTACATATATTATGAATCTTAAAAATATAAAAATTACAAAAAATTACAAAAACTTGCATGACATTTTCTTCAGTAAGATATCTGGATTTTCTTATTACAATTATTCAATTTTTAATTTATTAAATGAATCATTAAAGACAATCGTCAAGCTTTAATGTAAAATATAGGTAATCACTGCGCATCAAACAGAAACAAAAAGTGGAATGAAAACAGCTCTAGTTGGAAGTGTCCGACTAGCAAATACCCCGAGCGCCGAAGCTTGCGCAGATCAATAATGCTTAATGGGCGGTTTGCCACGCCTCCCTCTGCCTATTACACACTTTAACAATGCCATTATGTTCCGAATTCCATTTTCTGTGTTCAGTTTATAATTAGATTGTAATTGCTTAGCAATAATACTCACGGCTGTCTCTATTATTGCCGTGAGTAATATAGAAAAATCATATAAATAAATTTATGCAATATGCAAATTGTAGTAAAAAGCTAATAAACTGGTTTTTATTATGATTTCAATAATCAAAGACGAAAGCTTAAAAATCCCCGAAAAATGCAATTTTCAAGCAAAGATGCGCAATAAAATTGAATGCAGCGAAAAAAATGCAAACAATAAGCAAAAATAAGTAAGAAATAAAGCAAAGAATAAAAATAAATAAAAAGCGAACAAAAATTTGCTGTGTGCAAAAACAAAATAAATCAAAAAGAGTTCAACGACCAAAAGTTGAAATTATTTCCGACAGCGAAGCGAAGCAAAGCACGAACGAACAGACGAGGACAGCCGAGCCGACGAGCGAGAAGGAATGAAAGAGCGAAAGAGAAAATGATACAAGATTTGATATAACAGCAGATAGATGGGGCTGCCGATAGGCGTGCGTTGCGTGCGTACACTGAAACTGAAACAGAAACAGAAACAGAAACAGATAGGAACAGATCTTTTGACGCCCGTCTTATCGATGCTGACGACGACGACGACAAGGAGACTTCGAATGCACTAAGAGCAACAACAACTATTAATTAGAGCAAGTATGTGTATTCTAGTAGGGAGTGAGCGACTAGAAGATACCTGGAACCTCATGCTAATCTGTTATATCAAATATGCTCAATCAAAGCTGTTTTGGCCATGAAATATGGCAAAATGGAATCAAACAATTATCGATGATATTTGCGAGAAACTGCATTAGAGTGTGCTGCAAGAAAATGTACAAATGAGAAAACGTTTGAGCCTATAGCTCTTGTTGGTGTCGCTGTCGATGGACGGACAATCAGACAAGGCTAATGTAATTCGTTTGTTAATCCTAAGCATTAATATATGTTCTGGCTGTTACATGCATTTGAACCAAATTACTATCCTTATTATACGAGCTCACAATGCTTGCAGGGTATGTGAAAAGAGTGCAACAGTTCGCTTAGAAGCTGCAGATACATATGTATCTAAAAGATGCGCGCATGCAGGAAGCTTATCGCGCCCACGGGCCATAAATTAGCCATCGTATGAACGCATGTTTCACATATCTTTAAGATACAAATGCACTTGTATACACACACACACACATACACTTACACACTTCGGCAGCGCTACGTTACGCATTCTTAATGAGCGGAAATTAGTTGGCATTGTAGATACAACAACAACAACAACAACAACTGCAATATATACGTACAACAAAAGTAATGCATCTGTAAGCCATAAATTCACACAGCTGACGAGCTGCGAGCTGCGCGTGCCGTGTTTTGCTCGCTCGAGAGATACATTTATTAAAACGCCTTTTACTGCGCACTTCGGCACAATTATCTGTCAGATAAATTATCAAAATTGTTTAATGGCGCGTTTTTTATAGCAAATACAACACAACACGCGTCATAAATCCGATTGTAACTCAAGTAGCTTATGCAGGGCCATTTATAGTGCAACCAAATGCTGGCAAAGTATC